CCTGAGGCACGGTTGCTCTGCCCCGGGCTTCCTAGAAACAGCCGCTGATCAGTTTCAGCAGCAGCTGACTTGGGGACTTGGGGTTCTTAAGTTGAATCTGTATGTAAGTGAGAACTGGCGGTCAGTTTCAGCAGCTGCTGAATCTGGATGCCAGTTCCGACTTACATACAGATTCAACTTAAGAACAAACCTACAGTCCCTATCTTGTACGTAACCCGGGGACTACCTGTATATAAGATCACAGCTCCAGAATATATGACTCCAGAAACATATAGCCAGTTAATTCATTAACTTTTCAATCTACATAGCTTGCTTATCCGGTCAGTTTCAGCAGCTGCTGAATCTGGATGCCAGTTCCGACTTACATACAGATTCAACTTAAGAACAAACCTACAGTCCCTATCTTGTACGTAACCCGGGGACTACCTGTATATAAGATCACAGCTCCAGAATATATGACTCCAGAAACATATAGCCAGTTAATTCATTAACTTTTCAATCTACATAGCTTGCTTATCTAAACATTGTTCTCTCTCCCTCTTTTTCTGCTCAGGTTCCAGATTGCTACAAATCTAAGCATGGAGCGATACGCTCTGGTGTTTGGTGTCAATACTTTCATTGCCTTGGCTCTGCAGACTTTGCTCACTTTGATTGTTGTTGACTCCAGTGGCCTTGGGCTAAACATATTCACACAGGTACAATCCTTGCTTTTATCTTTACTAATTGGGGGAGAAGGAAGGGATGTGAAGTCTCTTTCTTGCCTCTTATTTGTGTGTGATTTCTGGTCCAGGTTGTTAGGAGAGCGTTCTGTCTAGGGATGTGACCGAGTAGTCAACTAATTGATTAACCAATAAGCCTAGCCTAGTTGCCCCTCAGCACTGGCTCCATGGTGCTGCCTTTCCTCACTCCCCAGGCTGCTGGCTCTGAGAGGTGGCAGGGGAAGCTGCTGCGAAGCAGCCCTTGCCCATGGTGAGCCCTGGTTCACCGTGGGCAGCCCCTGCCTGCATCAAGCTGAGACTGCTGCAGGAGCAGCCTCAGTCCATGGTCAGCAGCAGCCCCTGTTCATGGTTTGGGGGAGGGTGGGGGGTGGTCCTCAATCTTATGTTTATAAGAAGCACACAGGATCTTTTCCAGGGGAAAAGGCAATACACCATGTCTAATGAGAAGACAGTAGAAAAGCAGTTGGCATATGCTTCATAAAGACAAGCCTACGCACACAGGTCCTGCAGATGATGTAGTTACCAGTTTGTCGTGGCTAACGTCCGTCTTGTAGGCCAGGCCAGGCTGGCTGAGTGAGGAGTGGGGGTTCCTCTGAGGTTTGGCTTGCAGGGCTGAGCCCAGTCTTATTGGCCAGAGCTCCCCTTCTTATACATATGTAAGTTCCTATTGAAGTCTATGGATATTGCAGTGCCATGCTGCAATCATTCATCCTTAAAAGGTGTTAATTTCAGAGTTTTTTTCCAAAGTTATCCTTTGGTGTCTGTCATCAGGGTTCCTTATATTTTGTTTCTCTCTCACTCGTGGGGGTGTCTGCCTGTCTCCACGGCTCAGTTATTCTGCTAATTTCTTCAGCCTTCATCTAGCCTCTCATCATCTCCAAGTGTCTCAAGTCTTTTTGACCATCTGGACCTTCCCGATGACTTTCGCACACATTCTTCACTCACATCAAACAATTTACAGAGCATTCCAGATAAAGATTACATAGTTACTAGAAACACAACTTAGTTTATGATGCAGACATTGTCTAAGCATGAGAAACAAGAAGAAATAGAATGTCATAAGGAAATTATTATACATCACACTTGTTTATATACTGATTTAAAATATAACAATTTTGCTATACTAGCCCCCTCACAAACAGGGGCTGCTGCCACCTCATGCTGTTGCCTCTGGTTTTTAAACTGGCTCATCTCGTGGACCGGCTCCCACCTGGCTGCAGCATTGGGTGGCAGAGGGCACTGGCTGCCAGCTGTGCCCTCAGGGACTATCGAATAGTTGACTAACTGCTAACAATTCATGTGGTTAGTTGACTATTCAATTAACTGATAGCTAACATCCCTAGTTTGTCACCTTGTGTGTCGAGGGGGAAGAAATAATGTCTGTCCTGTTGCAAACCGAGATTTATGTCCATGTTACAGAACCACAGCCACACTTAATACCAGTTGACTGCCTTCTTAATTTTATGTAAGAAATCAAGGCTGGAGGCCGAGCTCCCATCTCTCCCCATTGGGGGACAGAGTTTGAGGCCCAAGTATATGGGAGGGTTAGGCTGCCACTGTTAATTTTGGACATGTCCCTGAAGCCCTGTGCAAGTGAAGCTACTGTTTAGTTCAGTGGAAGGATTCCCTGTGTGTGCGCTGTGGCATTGGTCTCTCTTGTGTAAGCAGCCTTAGAGCATAAACTCTTATCTGGAATCTTTCATCAGTACCAATAAAAGTAGTGATAAGTCCAGATAATGGACTAGGTGCAGCACACTTCATTCACCAATCCTATTAGAAAAACCTGAATGTTTTCCTTTCATATAAGGGGGAAGAGGGAGTCGATTTGCTAATCTTTAACTTGTGAGCGTTCTCTCCCTCTCTACAGTTCATGATCTACGCCAGTTACTTTGCAGCCATATCAGTGGTGTTCTTGATCAGTGGCACGTACAGTGTTATGAAGAAGTACAGAAGACGGAAAGAGATGCTAAGTAGATCTACAGCAAGTCCTTAGTGCCGCGAATGAGGATCTGTTGCATTGTGATGTATGAAGATGAACTTTTAGTGTCTTTGCCACTTATTTTCCAAGGCAATTGTCTGAAGTGTAATTTATACTATATTAGTAGCACACACCAGAAGGAAAATTTTATGTAATTAGATCTTATATAAGTAAGAATAGACCTTCCTTCTCAAATGCCTTTTTTATTGTTTAATTGCATGTGTGGGAAAGGGCACTAGCGTACCACAGGATGGCTCAAAAGTGGTAAGTCTTGAAACCTGGGGCTTTCAAGATCATTTCTGCAAATAAGGTTTTATGGGTATAAGACACCCTCCATCTGTCGGTCTTTGAGCACAAAAAACTTGGGAGTTGCTGGAAGTCACTTGTGAGATGCACTGACAGCTGTGTGAGGATGCTAGGACTGGAATAGCAGTGGACATGCTGTAGGTCAGAGCTGAGGTACATTGGCAGAGCAGTATTATAATCTGCATTGTGCCTTACCCATGCTGATAGACGCACACTTCTGAGTACTGAATATGCTTTAAATTAGAAGTTTGTATGTTTACATATTTTTTCATGTCACTTGAACTGGTTCTACCTAGTCTGCCAGAGTATCAGACATAGCTCTTCTTGGCTCTCTCCCCGAGAGCTTAAATGTGTTTTGGATTAGCCCTCTGACACCAGTGAGTTGGCTGTTGGAAAATACATGTTGTTCTGGGAAAGTCGTGCCGCTGCTTGCTTCAAAAGGACTATAATGATATAGAGAACTGAGGATGCTATCTAATGGTACTGAATACTGGTCTGAGAGCATGGATGTCCATTAGGATTCTTGACTCCTGTGATGCAAAAGTCGTTGACCCTGAATGCTCCACTGTAGCTTTCTATAGACAGCTATACTAGTATTGGGAATGAAGTTGACTTACTGCACTACTTTCCTCTAAACTTCATGTCTTTGGCATTTTTTAAAACACTTGATAACATCCTATTTTGATCAAATCTGTCCATTCCCAAAGCCCTTCCCCCTTTTCTAACTGAATGGAAAAACTCAAATCATCTTGAAACCTGCCTTTATTTTGCAGTCTGGACAGTTTGGGACTCATGTAAATAATTTGGAAAAGGAAAAAAACACAGCGGTGCAATATTTGTATCTGAATGGGTTCTTTAGAAAGAGTTGCTGGACAGTGAGGCTGTATCATCCCCGCCACTGTGCAATGCAGAGTGGCATTAAAGAACAGGAGAAATTGATGGCAAGGGACAGTTGCTATGCTGTATGCTTGCCCAGAACTGAGGGGGTTGGGGATGTTGAGAAGGGAGGTAAATCCATGAGAGAATCCTTTTCTTACAAAGTGATCCACAGAACTGTGTGTAAAAGCTAATTCTCCTGCTGATTTGACCCATTTCAGGTTTGAGTTACTTTAAAGAGCCCAACAAATATAAATGGGCTTGAGGGAAAATCCAGGATCTGGACTTCCACACTTCCAAATGCTTGAAATCTGGTTTCTCATGTTTCCTGGGATAACTTTTGCTGACATCCATTTGTCTGTAATTTAGCTGCCTTATCCTGAAAAAGAAATTTGAAAGGAATACTTACAAGTGTTACCTTTTTTAAAATAAGAAACTTCGCACACAGTGTTAGAGGATAGGTTTTAGGCAAGGTGAAATGGTGATGAAATATAATTTTGTAATTGTTCTTGGAAAACACATGGCTATTTCTCATGCTGCTCCTTGTGCTATAATTTCAGCCTGGTTGCAGATGATATAGAAGCATGGGGATGAATAAGTAGAGGAAGCTCAACCTCTAATCAAATTTTGAGAGAGAAAAAAACCTTATTCTTTTGGGAAACTATTCACTGAAGTCAAAGATTTTATGCATCTAGACTGATGTTACTAATGGATTGTGGCAAGATCAAAATGTCTATGGTACCGTATTTAATGCTTTGTGGTTGTTTTAAAAAGATGGTAATTTTACACTGTATTTATTTAAGTCAATTAATGTAGATATCTTAAGCCTGGAAGTCCTGTTCAGGTTCTAAAGCTATGCCTCACCATGGTGTCTGAATGCTGTAGTGATCGGAGTAGTCTAAGAACCTAGATGGTGTAGAATATTTGTGGCATGAATCATATTTGTAATCTATTCACCTGTGCTTCTACAAACAAGTCATAATCACATATGGGATCTTTTTATTCAGTTTTGTTCAGATGGTACAGCAATTTTTATCAAATAAAATATTTTACGAATTCCTAAATGATCTTAATTATCTGTATCTCAACACCTTTATCGTGATCATTGCTATTGCAGTTGACATGGGTCTGTCTTATTCAACAAGAAATTAGAGGTAGGGAGAGAGAGCACCATAAATTAAAAAGGAATCGCAGCTAAAACTTATCTTCATGGATGATTATTAACTACTTCACTACTTTCGTTAGCTTTGTAGATGTCAGTCCAGGAAAAATCTTGTGGCCTGAGAAGAGGTCTCTACTCTGACTTCTTTGGACTGCTTAGTAATCTTGTTTTTAATGAACATTTATTAGGCAAGGATGAAATTCATGTATAGGTGGAGGAACTACAAAAAAGGAGGCTCCAGGAAGGAATACTGGTAAAGATGCCACAGATATCTGCTGCATGGGAGGGGAGAGACCACTGGAAAGCAGTATGGGAGACCACTGGAGAGGCAGGCTGAAGGAAGAGTCACTTAATGGATGCTTGTGACCAGGAACCTTCACGTGAGGAGTGCTGCCATTGCCCAATAAACTCTATGAAATAACCTTCCTTAGAGGGGTTGTGCTTCAGTCCCAGGATGGGGATGGCTTGGCTTTTTGCTAAACATGATCCAGCCGTGTGAGGTTTGAGGGAGGATGTGGGAACTTGAAGATTAGCTGTTGCTCTTTGTGACCATTGCTGTATAGTTGCCATATAAAATACACTTGCATAGACATGACAGTGAGTACTGAAGACGTGAACCACCAGCCTTCTGAGTGCCAAGAAGCAAGTATTCCAGGTAAGAAGTAGCATCAGCCATGAAGGGAAAATACTTAAAATAGGTTTGTTGGGCTCCCAGTTGAAAATTGTTAAAGGGTGGGGGAGAGAATGCTGCTGCTATCGCTGCCACTACATCCACCAGCAAGAAAAAAGCAGTACAGTGAACCCTCGTTTATCGCGGTAGATAGGTTCCAAACCCGACCGCGATAGTTGAAAATCCGCGAAGTAGGGACATGTATATTTAACATGTATACAGCGAGCCCTCGCTACTTCGCGGTTCGACCATCGCGGATTCACGTATATACATAATGTAATGAAAAAAGTCCGCGAAGTCGTGAATCCGCGATGGTCGAACCGCGAAGTAGCGAGGGCTCACTGTAGTACAATCATGGTGTCTTTGTATCTGACTCTTAAATGTAATTGCCTTGGAATCTAGACAGGTTTTTAATTACTTTTATGTACTACACTTCCCCCTGCCAAGTCTTCTGGCTTTATAGATACTATCTTATTTCAAAAAGTCTCCTTTCTCATATTTACTGGGAGAGCTGCACAAATAAGGCAAATCTTCATTATAGAAGCAAAATGATGAAACTGACAGAGCACACAGTGCCATTACAAGCAAAAACTTGAAATAATGTAGAGTTGTATTTTTTTTAAGAGTGTAGATGTTTTGGTCCCAAGTCTTCTGGCTTTATAGATACTATCTTATTTCAAAAAGTCTCCTTTCTCATATTTACTGGGAGAGCTGCACAAATAAGGCAAATCTTCATTATAGAAGCAAAATGATGAAACTGACAGAGCACACAGTGCCATTACAAGCAAAAACTTGAAATAATGTAGAGTTGTATTTTTTTTAAGAGTGTAGATGTTTTGGTCCAAACTGGTAATGTCCCTCAGTCTGGGACTACATTGATTTGTTGTATCCTAGTGTCACCTAGGGTCCAGCTAAAGTATTGAGATATATAGAACACTTTGCAACTGTCCACAAAGTGCAAAAAAAGTGATCCTGGAACACTTGATTGCTATAGGAATGCCCATGGAAGGGGGCAATATGCATGATAGCAAGTAAATGCAGATTTGGGACAATAATAAGGGAAAAGTTGAAATACATTTTCTAGTACTTAGCTTTTCCAAAGCACTTCCTTTCTTACCACTAAAGCGTGATGTACTTTACAAAGGAGGTCAGTATCATTACTCCCCTTTTACAAAGGGGGAAACGGAGACCCGGATGAAGTGAGGTGCTCAGGATCACCCAGCAGGCTCGTGACAGAACTTGATTCCTTTAATTTGTAAATGACCGATTTACCCTCCTGCTTGGATGACTCGATGAACTGACTGTCATGGGTTTTCAGGTAATCTAGAAGATTAAAACCTGATGCTTAAGTTAGTGATTATATTAGTTCAGAAGTAGCTTTTCTTCCCATAGAAGGATTTGATCTCTTTTTTTCTGTTGGAATGTGATGTACGAAGAACCCTGGCACTGAAAGAATCTCACAGCTCATCTCCTGCCTCTTTCCTGTGCATGCTTTGACACTAACTGGCAGGAGCCAATCCAAGGGCAGAAAAGAGCTTGATTGCCATAGCAGCTTCTCCTTCGAATGCTGTGGTGTCCAGTAACAATACAGTAAATAATGTGTCATAATAGCCACTATCACAAAGCAAAATCAGGATGTTGCCTAGTGATTGGCTATGTGTGTGTATACATTTCCAAATACCATTTAATGTCAGAGCTCTTCAAAATCTGATTTGTATGTGGACTCATAGGCATGAAGGAGCCAGCACAGAGGATGGACACGACCGAGTTTTCCCCAAGCGCCAGGACCACAATGGCAGATGCTACCATGAGTGCGGGGAACAATGGTCTTCCTGGACTCCATGGGCAAATCACCAGTCTCAGGGATCTATCTTCATATGATCTTTCTCTGTTGCATCTGAGGATCTAGCTATGTCCTGGAGCTGGGTCCCTTCCCATACCTCAGCCACCAATGTAAGCACTGATGCTGCATCCCAACACTGTTCACATTGCTACAGTCAACACTGTGCCTGGAACTGCTGCTGACACTAATTCAACTCAATGAGTCAAGGAACTGGACAGATAAGAGGGACAACACTGGCCAAGGCATCCTTGCCATTCTCACCTGATGAAGTAGTTGTGGCAGAGATCCTGAAGAGGTCCCATAAGACAGCAGAGCCCACCTTAAGTGTCCAAAATCACTGAGCTGGTTCCTGCAGAGTCTCAGGCTGAGTTACGCAATGCTGTTACACCAATTATTTTCAGGAATAATGGCATTGCACAAGAGGGGTTTTCTTGCGTAAAAAGGGGCAGTGTAGACAGCTTCCCCTGGTGCAAGAGCCTCTTCTGCAAAAATGGTGGTTCATTAGGTATGCAAATGAGGCTCGGTGATATTCCATGCTTAGCCTCATTTGCATACTTCTGCCGCAAGTGTAGACATAGCCCAGGAGGCCCCACAGCCAACCTAAGGGTTCACTGTTAGGGGAAAATCCTTCTGGTGAGTAGTCACATACCTAATGGAAATGGATATGAGAAACATTTCTTGAAGAAAAACTGTTAGGGTATGTCTACACTACAGCGCTAATTCGAACTAACTTAGTTCAAATTAGTTAATTCGAACTAAGCTAATTCAAACTAACGGATCCAGACTAAAAAACTAGTTGGAATTAGCGTTTTGCTAATTCGAACTAGCATGTCCACATTAAGTGGACCCTGAACCAGGCTTAAGGATGGCCGGAAGCAGTGCCGGCAGGGCATCAGAGGAGGACTTAGAGCGTGGAGATGCTGTCTCAGGCTAGCCAAGGGCTGTGTTTAAAGGGTCCCGACCCCCACCCCGGACAGACAGTTCTCAGGGGTGCCCCGCTTGCAAAGCAGTCCTGGCTTGGAATGCCCGGAGTACCCACACTGGGCACATCACAGCACTCGGCCATCAGCCCGGCTGCACTTGCCGCAGGCTGCCATCTGGGGA